CGCCTCCCGCCGCTGGCCTCTGTCGCCTCTCGCCCTCCTTCTCTCTGGCCCTTTCTCTCCCCTCTCTCGGGGCTTCCGTCATCGGCCGGGCATTTCCGCCGGGAAGAGGTGAGCTGGAGGCGCCCTCGCGACGCGCACGCGAGAAGCCAAACAGCACCCCCGCGTGGCTCGGCGGAGAAACGGCCCGCGGGCAAGGATGGTCCCCCTCCCTCTTCCCTTGTCTCCTCGTACCGCACCCAGGGCCCCCAGACCAAGCTCTCCTGGCTATCCTTTCACACCCTGGCCTCTGGGGGAACTTTGTCATCACTTGAGCCTCCTGCAGTGCCTTTTCAGCACTCTGGACAGGGAATTGGGACCTCTCGGGCTTTCCCAGGATGACATTGTCTTCCCGGAGTTCTAGCACTCTCCCATTGCAAGCATCCAGTAATTGTCACCTGAAGAAATTATTTCTAGCTTTGTCTCTAGGTGTGGGGCCCTAACATCTCGAATTCTCCCTTTCACCATTAGAAAGATGAAATGATTGCTCTGCGAATGAAAATCGGTGTGTACCATCATGCAGCCTTCTTGCAATGTTTTCTGCAATGTTTAGTTGTTATGATTCGTTCATTCCACAGATATTTACCGTCCTGCCTCTATTTGAGGTACACGCTAATGCAGCTGAACTCGAGTGGGAGGCGATGTCCGGCACTGGACGGCAAGGGTTCTTGTCTTGGCGTTGCCAACTTCCTGTGTCCCTCCTTGGGTGATCACCAAACCTCCTCAAACCTCAGATTCTTCATCTGTTAAAAGCAATAAGGCTTACGTCTTCAGGTTGTAAGAAGGAAAAAAAAAGGTGCCTGTTTTATGGGAGCAACCTGTTAATTGCCTCATCCCTCCAACGGAACAATTTTAAAAAGTTTAGGTGGGTGGCATTTGGATTGCATTCTAAACCATCTTCCCAGGCAAAACCTGAAGTTCCCTGGAGAAAAGGAAAAGACTTCTAAGGAATTGTGTGTGTGTGTGTCTGTGTTTTTTCCTGCAGAACATAATCAATCTGAAATCCTTGCTAAGTACTTACCATGCCAAACTGCATTTAATCATTAGGTTTGTAGGCCAATTCTAAATTTCGTTTCTCAGAAGTGTTCTTACTTTTATTCTGCTTACCTCTCTCTTCTTTTGATCAAAGAATTTTAAAATTGTTAACTTTAACAGATCCTTTGCTTTAAGGTACATGTTAGATCTTGTTTCTACACAACTGACTAGCCTTTTTAAATATATGTATATATTTTTTCTTTTCTTTAATTTTTTTAGAGACAGGGTCTCACTCTTGCTTAGGCTGGTATCAGACTCCTGAGCTCAAATGATCCACCCGCTGCAGCCTTCTAGAGTCCTAGGATTACAGGTGTGAGCCTGCCACAAAGCCCAGCTATTTTTTTGTTATTGTTGTCATTGTTGATTAGCGGGCTGAGGCCAGGTTCGAACCCACCAGCCCTGGGGTATGTGGCTGGCACCCTAACCACTGAGCCATATATTCTTTTTTAAAACTCCTTTTTTGGTCAATGTAATTTCAATATGCTGTGGAAGTTTTAACTGCCAATGTAATTTCAATATGCTGTGGAAGTTTTAACTATAGGTTCAAGTGTGCCAGGAGATAAAAAAGGATGAAAAACATTGCACTGTAACTTCAAACCTGTGAGTTCAAGCCATCCTCTTACCTCAGCTTCTTCAGTAGCTGGAACTACAGGTGGTCACCACCAATCCCAGCT